TCTGACTGCTGAAATGCTTGTAAAAGCAATTTCAAAGGGGAACCATTCTATTTGCGGAAATGCTGGTAGAAAACAATTTCAAGGGGGAAGCATTCCAACTGCTGAAATGCTTGTGTAAAAAACAACTTGAAGGGGGAAGCATTCAAACTGCTGAAAGGCTGGTAAAAAAACATTTTCAAGGGGGAAACATTCTAACTGCTGAAATGCTGGTAAAAAGTAATTTCAAACGGGGAAGCGTTCTAACTGCTGAAAAGCTGGTAAAAAACAATTTCAAGGGGGAAACATTCTAACTGATGAAATGCTGGTAAAAAACAATTTCAAGGGGGGAAACGTTCTAACTGCTGAAATGCTGGTAAAAAGTAATTTCAACGGGGAAGCATTCTAACTGCTGAAAAGCTGGTAAAAAACAATTTCAAGGGGGGAAACATTCTAACTGCTGAAATGCTGGTACAAAACAATTTCAAGAAAACATTCTAATTGCTGAAATGCGTGTGTAAAAAGCAACTTCAAGTGGGAAGCATTTTAACAGCTGAAATGCTGGGAAGCATTCTAACTGCTGAAATGCTGGCAAAAACAATTTCAAGGGGGAAGCATTATAACTGCTGAAATGCTTGTAAAAAGCAATTTCAATGGGAACGCGTTCTAACTATACCCCAGGACTGGAAGTTAGAATGCCGCTTTGGTGCAAAGATGTGGATTTCAAGAAAAGACCCGCGTACCGCGTGACCTTATTTATTTAGTCCTGAAGGCATTGAAAAATCCTATTTATTTAGTCCTGAAACCCCTAAAAGTCCAAAATTCTTAACGCATTCTCGACCGTCCCGTGTCTTCCATGTATATGGCACTGCAAATATGCAGAATATGCATGTAAATTGCAAAAAAAATCATGAAGAACGCCTTTAAAACACTGAAAAATCAATGGAACACATGCAACAACATTGAAAAATCAATGAGAAATAATGAAACACATCTTAAAAACAATGAAACATCCATGAAAATAATGAGCAACGTCTTGAAAATAATGAAAAATCAATGAGCAATAATGAAAAATCAATGAACAATAATTGACAATAATAAAAAACTTCTTAAAATCATGAAACCCATGGAAAAATAATGAAAACCATCTTCAAAATAATGAAAAATCAATGAAACACATCTTCAAAATAATGAAAATCACTGAAAAATAATGAACACATCTTCAAAATACTGAAAAATCACTGAAGGCCGTCCCGGATTTTTTAAATGGGTTTGAGGATTAAATAAGGTTAGAATGCCTCCCGGAATTCTCAGTACGCCGGTTTTTTCTTGAAATCCATGTCTTTCCACCAAGGTTGCATTATAACTTCCAGTCCTGCGGTATATATGCATGCATCTATGTAAACAATATCTGTGTATCTATGTTCTACCATATAATTAAAAAACAATGAAAAATAATGAAAAACGTGGTTAAAAATAATGAAAACCCATGAAAAATAATGGATCTCAACCGTCATTGGGGACCAAAATTTCATTTATATATTTAAAATCTATATATATATATATAGAATTCAGAAGTTTTGGGGGCATATGCTGCGGAGGCATTCTAACCCTACAAAAAAACAAGGTTTGGTGGCCCCCGCAAACCAAGCTTTTGGTCGGTTTTGGACTACGGTTTTTACGGGTTTTTATGGGTTTGGATGAGTTTTTACAGGTTTTCGGCGGTTTTTTTTGCGGATTGTGGCGAAGCTGCTTCATCAAAGGTTTTGTTGACTAAAACCTTTTTTTAGCAGAAACCAACTCAAAACAAGGTTTTGATAGCTCGACCCGCGTTTTTCAGGGATTTGGTTGATGTAGGATATTGTAGGATATATGATGATGATATCAAACTGTGGTAAGTACTTATCTCAACCGTCATTGCGGACCAAGATTTCATTTATATATTTAAAATCTATATATATATATAGAATTCAGAAGTTTTGGGGGCATATGCTGCGGAGGCATTCTAACCCTACAAAAAAACAAGGTTTGGTGGGCCCCGGCAAAACCAAGCTTTTGGCGGTTTTGGACTACGGTTTTACGGGTTTTATGGGTGTGGATGAAGTTGTAAAGGTTACGACGGAGACGGTTTTTTTTTTTCCGCCGATATTACCCCAAAAAAAACAAAAAAAGAAACTAGACAAAACGAAAGAAATAAAAAGCTCCGACAACACCTTTACACACAAAGAAAAAGCAGTTTTGTTGACTAAAACCATTTTTTTTCTCGCAGAAACCAACTCAAAACAAGGTTTTGATAGCTCGACCCGCGTTTTTCAGGGATTTGGTTGATGTAGGATATATGATGATGATATCAAACTGTGGTAAGTACTTATCTCAACCGTCATTGCGGACCAAGATTTCATTTATATATTTAAAATCTATATAGAATTCAGCAGTTTTGGGGGCATATGCTGCGGAGGCATTCTAACCCTACAAAAAAACAAAGAACAAAACAAAAAACAAACCCACCAACAAGGCTTGTGGTAGCAATCACCCCAGAACCACAAAAAAAAAGGTTTGGTTGCCCCGGCAAACCAAGCTTTTGGTCGGTTTTGGACTACGGTTTTTACGGGTTTTTATGGGTTTGGATGAGTTTTTACAGGTTTGCGACGTTTTTTTTCGCGGATTGTGGCGAAGCTGCTTCATCAAAGGTTTTGTTGACTATTTTTTTTTGCCGAAACCAACTCAAAACAAGGTTTTGATAGCTCGACCCAGGTTTTTCAGGGATTTGGTTGATGTAGGGTGTATGATGATGATATCAAACTGTGGTAGTACTTATCTCAACCGTCATTGGGGACCAAAATGTCATTTATGTATTTAAAATCTATATATATATATATATATATATAGAGAATTCAGAAATTTTTTGGGACATATGCTGCGGAGGCATTCTAACCCTACAAAAAACAAGGTTTGGTGGCCCCGGCAAATCAAGTCTTTGGTCGGTTTTGGACTATTGTTTTTTACGGGTTTTTATGGGTGTGGAGAGTTTTTACAGGTTTGCGACGTTTTTTTTCGCGGATTGTGGCGAAGCTGCTTCATCAAAGGTTTTGTTGACTAAAACCATTTTTTTAAGCAGAAAACAACTCAAAACAAGGTTTTGATAGCTCGACCTGTTTTTTTCAGGGATTTGGTTGATGTAGGGTGTATGATGATGATATCAAGCTGTGGTAAGTATTTATCTCAACCGTCATTGCGGACCAAGATTTATATATATATATATATATATTTAAAATCTATGTATATATATATATATAGAATTCAGAAGTTTTGGGGGCATATGTTACAAAGGCATTCTAACCCTACAAAAAACAAGGTTTGGTGGCCCCGGCAAACCAAGCTTTTGGTCGGTTTTGGACTACGGTTTTTACGGTTTTTTATGGGTTTGGATGAGTTTTTACAGGTTTGCGACGTATTTTTTCGCGGATTGTGGCGAAGCTGCTTCATCAAAAACCAGGTTTTGTTGACTAAAAAAACCTGTTGTTCTCGCAGAAACTATATAGCTCAAAACCAGGTTTTGGTACCTCGACCCGTTTTTTTCAGGGATTTGGTTGATGTAGGATATAAATATAATATATTTATTTCTCTAGATATTTAACATCTATATAGAATTCAGATGTTTCGGGGGCATTTGCTGCGGAGGCATTCTAACCCTACAAAAAAGAAAGGTTTGGTGGCCCCGGCACAACAGGTAGGCACATTTGATCAAACAATGTTTGAACATGTTTATTTACATTTACCAGCATAATACGTACTGAAAGGTAAAATTTTGAAGGGGGAAGCATTCTAACTGCTGAAAGGCTGGTAAAAAGCAATTTCAAGGGGGAAGCATTCTAACTGATAAAATGCTGGTAAAAAGCAATTTCAAGGGGGAAGCATTCTAACTGATGAAATGTTTGTGTAAAAAGCAACTTCAAGGGGAAGCATTCTAACTGCTGAAATGCTGGGAAGCATTCTAGCCGCTGAAATGCTGGCAAAAGCAATTCCAAGGGGGAAGCGTTCTAATTGCTGAAATGCTGGTAGAAAGCAATTTCAAGGGGGAAGCGTTCTAATTGCTGAAATGCTGGTAGAAAGCAATTTCAAGGGGGAAACATTCTAACTGCTGAAATGCTTGTGTAAAAGCAATTTCAACGGGGAAGCATTCTAACTGCTGAAAAGCTGGTAAAAAAAATCAAAGGGGAAGCATTCAAACTGATGAAATGCTGGTAAAAAACCATTTCAAGGGAAGAAGCATTCTGACTGCTGAAAGGCTGGTAAAAAGCAATTTCAAGGGGAAAGCATTCCAACTGCTGAAATGCTGGTAAAAAGCAATTTCAACGGGGAAGCATTCTAACTGCTCAAAAGCTGGTACAAAAATAATTTCAAGGGGGAAGCATTCTAACTGATCAAATGCAGGTAAAAAACTATTCAAGGGGAACGCATTCTAACTGCTGAAATGCTGGCAAAAGCAATTTCAACGGGGAAGCGTTCTAAGTGATGAACTGCCGGTAAAAAGCAATTTCAAGGGGGAAGCATTCTAACTGCTGAAATGCTTGTGTGAAAGCAACTTCAAGGGGGAAGCGTTCTAATTGATGCACTGCTGGTAAAAAGCCATTTCAAGGGCGAAACATTCTAACTGCTGAAATGCTGGCAAAGCAATTTCAAGTGGGAAGCGTTCTAATTGCTGAAATGCTGGTAAAAAACAATTTCAAGGGGAAGCATTCTAACTGCATTCCAACATTTGATGATATTCATAGTGTGTAGGCATTTTAAGTGAGGGATTTGTGCAAAGAGTTTTCCGAAAACAACAAAAAACTTAAAACCCGGGTGCGGAGGCATTCTAACTGAATGATTTTTTGCCGTGCGCGTGCCGCATTCTAACTGAGGGGGAGGAATATTTGGAATTCGCGGAGGCATTCTAACTTTCATTTTAACGGTATATATATCCTTTGGTTTCCAAACAGGTTATACCATAGGTCCCATGAGATTGCTATCACATATAGATCTTAAAGTATAGGATTGAATAATAACAGAACCATCTGGTGGTGGATCATCCTGTCCTGAATCTCCGGGTCAAAGAGCAAGAGAAGGTCATGGAAGCAAGGGTCCTGACAGGGAGTGATAAAGTAAATTATACGTTAATACTAAACAGGGAAGTTTCCATTCTAAAAACAGGATTGGATTTTTGTTACCAAATATGATGCCATGTATGTGAGAAATATATATTAATTGTGACTTAAAACATCGATATTTAAAATATGTTGTTTTTGGGGAACCAACCTTCCCAACCGCCAATGTTTCTCATTCTGAACTCCCCTCCTTAGTGACCTCATGCCTGTTCGCCTTACGCTTCACCAGCCCTGCTAACTGCTTAAGCTCCATGCTGTGCTTATACACACTTTTGCCACCCAAAGAAGTAATGCCACATTTTTCCACAAGTGCACCAACTTCTAGCTGCAGCGCATCCATATGTGGCAATCGCTTTTTTGGGTGCTTCCCCAGTCGGGACAAGACAGGGCCCAAGACATCAGCATTGGAAACACAGTTCTTGCGATTGGCCTTGCAATAAGGCTGATCTAAACCATGAACCAGCAGCTTCCTTTCAGACCGCAGGCGATCACGAATAACAGGATTGCTTTCCCATTCTTTGGCCAACCCTAAACAATTCATTGTTTGGGATGGCCCATCAAAACAAAGCTTGAAGCCAAAATGTTCTGTAGATGTGTGGTCGGTTTAACGGGCAACATGTTGTTTCAAACAAAGCGCGCACTACCAAGCTGGATGAACCAAGGACACCTACATGGCAGCACCAGCGCACGGCACCATACCACCCAGCTGGAAAAAATTGGGGGGCCCGGCGGTGCGATCTGTTGAAGATCATCGGAATCACATGGGCAAGAGCACGGTCGAGGCTATAGTGAAATCACAAAGTTTCAGCACAACTATGCGGAGATGTTAATAAACAATGTGTTCCTCCACCACTGATTTGGGAAACATGAGTTACATAAGAAGTTCGAAGAGATTTGATACTAAAATGTACGGGTGATACAGGGTGATCCAACTATGCATTTATTTGATGATATTTTCTGCTATAGATCGATATCACTGTTACTGATCTCCAAAATTGATCGACTGTTTGGTTGTATGATCACTGGATACTGGAATTGTTTCCTTATATTGACACTTGGGCCACTCAACCACAGGTCCCGCTCCATCATGAGAAGATTTCGACACTGTCACATCTGAGCTAACACATGTATAAATCATCATATATTACCTTATAATATGCTATATATAAGGTATATGAAAAATACATAGGTTTTTTATAAAATACATAGGTATTATTATGTTGATCAGAAAATAGATAGGTTTTACGGTTTCATCCTCAAAAAAAGTAGGTATAAAGCTACATAGGTATATAATTAAACCAAATCCGAACTATTCCGAACTTATCTTTTGGTATACTTGAACTATATCTTGAACTGATCTTTGGGGACTTTCCGGGGCCCGAACGCGCGTTTCGGGGCCCGATTCGGGGCCCGAAGTCCTTTTTCGGGGCCCGAAGTGGCACCGCAAGAGAACATGAGAAAACAAGGTACAGAGATATATAGAGATGTATACGGAGATGTAAAAGGATAAATCCGAACTTGTCTTTTGGATTCTTTTGGTGCATGCACTTATCTTTTGGGGCCCGAATTCCTCTTTCGGGGCTCGATGCTAACTTGCACAAAAGACTTTGGGATTTGGTTTCTGGTGTAATGCGTTGGACCAAGATGGGTTTTGGGTATGTGCAAGGCAAATTTAACTAAGGCGGTGCATGCGAGGGCACAAGTGTGATTGCTGCTCCCTTGTCCCGTTTGCAAACTTTTTGCAATGTTCCAGCTTAGCTTGATGTGGTTTCCAGTTGGGGTTGAAAAAAAAATTGAGCTGCCGTTTTGGGGACGAATTTGTGGGAATGCATATCGGGGTTCATGGAAGTCTCTGCAAAAGAAAAAAGAACAATCACCAAAAATCGTCTTTTTGTGAAGGTCCTTTTTTGATCTTGTTTGAGCCACGTTGAGGGGTATGTCGGGCTAAGGTTGGGCAATTGGAGGTCCAAAGTTGGGCCCATGTGGGGTTCCATGGAGGTCTTTGGTATGAAAAAATCAACCCCTACCGAAAACTTTTCGGTTGAGGTTCATTTTGGGGGCGCTTGGAGGGCATTGGAGGGCTATGTCGGACCATTGTTGGGCCGTTTTGGGTCTATGTTGGGCCCATGTTGGGTCATGTTGGGTCATTTGGTGGGCTTTATGGGTTCCACGGAGGTCTATGATGGTCTATGTTGTGTGTATGTTGGGCCTATGTTGGGGCCATGTTGGGGCCGTCATGTTGGGGCCATGTTGAGACTAATGAATATATATATATATATATGTATATATAAATAACATGTATATATATATATATATACATACATTTCCTTCTTACCTTGATTTCTTACTTCTCGTGCTATGCCTGCTCTTTTTTATTTCTTACTACATCTTTAATTATCTCTTCGCCTTGTTTTCTCATGTTCTCTTGCTGTGCCTCCTCGGGCCCCGAAAGAGGAGTTCGGGCCCCGAATCGGGCCCCGAAACGCGCGTTCGGGCCCCGAAAGGTTCCGAAAGATCAGCTCATGGATAGTTCAGGTACCAAAATGTAAAGTCGGATGTCTATTTATATATATATATATATTTATATATATATTATCTATATACATACATGCATGCACATGTCCGTACATCTCTTTACATCTAATTTATTTCGTTTTCTTATGTTCTCTTGCTGCGCTTGCTCGGGTCCGTTTTCATTTCTGTATATAATCTCAGGACATCTCATCATGTCTTTTCATCTCTTTACTTTGTTTTCTCATGTTCTCTTGCTGTGCGTCCTCGGGCCCCGAAAGAGGAGTTCGGGCCCAGAATCGGGCCCCGAAACGCGCGTTCGGGCCCCGAAAGGTCCCCAAAGATCAGTTCAAGATATAGTTCAAGTACCAAAAGATAAGTTCGGAATAGTTCGGATTTGCTTTATATACATACACACACATATATATATATTTAATATTTATATTTATATAGATCTACATATATCTATATATATGTATACACATATATCAATATATATATAGATACATACATTTCGCACATCTCTTGACATCTCATTGACTTGATTTCTTGTGTTCTCTTGCTGTGCTTCCTCTTTTTCATTTCTACAAATTCATTACATTTTTAATCATCTCTTCACCTTGTTTTCATGTTCTCTTGCTGTGCCTCCTCGGGCCCCGAAAGAGGAGTTCGGGCCCCGAATCGGGACCCGAAACGCGCATTCGGGCCCCGAAAGATTCCGAAAAAGCAGTTCAGGATATTTCACGCCCCAAAAAACAATTCGGTTTTTGGATTTATATATATATATATGTATCTATTCATCTATTTATATAATTATTTCCAGTCGTACCGCATAAGGCGGTGGCGGAAGTTTCAAAAATAGGAAAACTATAGGGGAGGTTGGTTGTTGTGAATCACGGATGGCAGAGCAAAAAGCTGTTGGACTGAAAGTAGTTGAGGTCTCCTGTCTTTCTCTCTCTTTCTCTCTCTTTCTCTGATTATCTACCTTCCTACCTACCTACCGATCTATCTATGTATCTATCTATCTATCTATCTATTTATCTATCTATCTACTCGCCCCTAAAAGTAGATGGCTGGGCGCGTGCAGAAGGCCGCGTCACGAAACAGTGTTTTTGCTAGTTCACTGCACTGGCGCCACAGCGAGAGCGCATTTTTTTCCTTTTTTACTGTGTTTCGCCTCAGTGAAACCTCTTTTTTTGTCTTTTTTTGTTGTTTTTTTTGGCGTGGTGTTGGTTGGGGGGTGGGGGGTGGGGGGGGTGGGGGGGGTGTAATAACGTTCTTTGGACTTGAACACATCTGGGATGTTATGTCATGAGATCTTTTCTTGGAATTCAACACATCTGGGATGGTACGTCATGAGATCTTTTCTTGGAATTCAACACATCTGGGATGGTACGTCATGAGATCTTTTCTTGGAATTCAACACATTTGGGATGGTACGTCATGAGATCTTTTCTTGGAATTCAACACATCTGGGATGGTACGTCATGAGATCTTTTCTTGGAATTCAACACATCTGGCATGGTACGTCATGAGATCTTTTCTTGGAGTTAACACATCTGGGATGGTACGTCATGAAATCTTTTCCTGGAATTCAACACATCCGGGATGGTACGTCATGAGATCTTTTCTTGGAATTCAACACATCTGGGATGGTACGTCATGAGATCTTTTCTTGGAATTCAACACATCTGGGATGGTACGTCATGAGATCTTTTCTTGGAATTCAACACATCTGGGATGGTACGTCATGAGATCTTTTCTTGGAATGCAACACATCTGGGATGGTACGTCCTGAGATCTTTTCTTGGAATTCAACACATCTGGGATGTTACGTCATGAGATCTTTTCTTGAAAATCATCACATCTGGGATGGTACGTCATGAAATCTTTTCTTGGAATTCAACACATCTGGGATGGTACGTCATGAGATCTTTTCTTGGAATTCAACACATCTGGGATGGTACGTCATGAGATCTTTTCTTGGAATTTAACACATCTGGTATGGTACGTCATGAGATCTTTTCTTGTAATTCAACACAATCTGTGATGGAACGTCCTGAGATCTGAACGAATACACCTGAAAGTGTCTCAAGTGAAGTAGTTTTTTTCGACGTCAAAATATGACACGCCAAGATATGAACATGGACATGTGAAGTTGTACATGCATTTCGAATGGCCAGCGTGGAGGATTTGCCATATCACCATTCATACATTTGTGTCAAAACTGAGATGAAAGTGCACGAAACCATACGGCCATCTATGAGCGCCCGACCAAGTAGATGGCTCAGAATCTTAAGTTGCGCCATCTATGCCAAAAAAATGGGGGATAGATGGCTCAACAGGTCAGTTGAGCCATCTATGTCCCTAAAAATGACATATTTTTTGCAATCTTCTGCGCCGGCTCATTCGCCAAAATCAGGCTGGGAATGCCCACATGGCCTTAAGATGGCACAACAAAGTCCCAATATAGCCTCTAAATGGCCCAGCATAAGCCCGAAACCGACCCAAAATTCAACCCAACCGAACCATGCTTCGGTTGGGGTTGAAATTTTAGGCCCGAAAGCCGCAAGCAGAGCCCCAAATGACCCAACAAAGGCCCAACATAGCCTTAAAATGGCCCAACAGAGGCCCATGTTGGGAGCATTTGGAGCTTGTTGGGGCTAGTTTGGGCCATGTTCGACAATCTGGGCAGCTCATGGTGGGCCAAAAATAAAGGGGTCCTTGCTACTTAAAATTGACCGGACCAAGGACGCCCCCAGTTTGGCCCACCATAAGCTGCCCAGATTGTCGAACATGGCCCAAAATAGGCCCAACAAAATTCCAATGGTAATGATTTGTAGATATATATATATATATATAGGGAAATATGAGGGAGTTGCGCCATCTATGTGGGCAATTTGCAGCCTGATTTTGGCGAATGAGTGGGAGTTGCGCCATCTATGTCCCAAAAAGTTTCTTCAATTGGCGGAACTCGTTTTATGTTCCAGCTAAAATAGCGCCGTTTTCTTTCTCACCGCGCGGTGCCAT